TATACTTCTTTGAATTAATATTTAATTTATTTATTACAGTAATCAATACAACTTCTTGATTGAATTGATGAAGGGAAACACATCAGGCTTTCTTATGCTGACAATAGATATTGCTGCAGCCGAAGCAGCATTTTAAACGTGTTTTTTAAAAAAGTGCGCAGTGGGTTTCTGAGCTAATTCATTCTGAGTTAATTTGTTCCACCGGTGCGTAACTCGGTTTGTAAAGAAGTGCTGACGTTCTGAATTTCTTTTGATCAGTTGTGGTTTTAAACATCGGCTGTTTCTTCTCAGATTATGTCGTGAATTTAACAAAAAAGGCTGGGCTCGTGGTATATAAAATTTAACTTTTTGTAACTGATGAGCAATTTTGTATTGCAGTATAAGGTCACTGCGAATTCTGCGTTCTTCCACCGTGGTTAGATCTACTAGTTATAGTCGTTTTTCGTAATTAAAATGTTTAATCGACGATATAACTTTTGTTGCACGTTTTTCCAATGTCGGTTACCGTTGATGTCTGCCATGGTATAGAAATGTGTTGATTTATTTTTGCGGCAACCAACGTGCATTACTTTGCACTTCTCGATGTTGAAGTGCATAAGCCATTTATGTGACCAACTTACAGCGTTGTCAATGATCGTTTGCAGTATTTCATAATCAGATGATGATTGATTATTATTTATAATTCCTATGATCTTGCTATCATCGGCGTATAACTTGATATAATTGCTAATGCCATCTGGATAGTCATTGACAAAAAGCACAAATTGCAGTGGTCCAAGTACTGATCTTTGAGGGACTCCACTTGTAACTCTTTTCCACTCGGAAGTTTGTTCCCCAATAACTACACGTTTTTTTTTTCACTTAGCCAAACAGAGATCCAGTGGAATAGCTGGAATCTAATGCCGTAGGCCTGAATCTTGTGAAGGAGTCTTTTGTGTGGTACTGTATCAAAAGTCTTGGCATAGTCTGTAAATATTATGTCAACAATGTGTCCACGGTAAGCTGCCTCCGTGAGAATTTCACGATATTCAATTAAATTTGTAAGACAACCTCTGTGTCAAATCCATCCTCTGTAGTCAAATCCATCCTGAGATTTTAAAATTAGATTGTGTAGTGTCGGTACAGAGGTAAGAGATACCGGCCTATAATTACAAGCTTTGAGTTTGTTTCCTTTTTTGAAGATAGGAGTAACAATTGATTTACGCCAAAGATTTGGGACATTTCCAGTTTAAAAGGATTGCTTGAAAATGAGTGAAAGAGGTATTGCAAAAGCTTTTGCGCAGTTTTTTTAGAACACGAGGATGTACTCCGTCAATCCCATTGATTTAGTGTCGTCAAGGCAGAATAAGTAGTTTTGTACTGTAGCAGCTGTAAACAAACTTTCGTCGATTTCGCAAGTTGATTTTGTTCTCTCTTCAAATATTGGTAAAGGTGTTGGGGGTTCTTCGACAAAAACTGAATGAAAATAATTAGTTATCATTGAAGTTATAAACTTAAAGTCTTCAGTGATGTTATCATCGCTAGTTTCAGGCATACTAATGTGATTATGTACTTTAAGCTTGTTTTTTACGTGTGAGTACAGACGTTTTGGGAACTCCTTGAAACTGCTTACTAGTTGTTGATCGTAATGAAGGACAGCCGCATTGACCACTTTTTTAACGTGTTTGCATGCAGCCTGATGTTCATTACGTAATTTTACATGAGAATCTTTACCAGCAGCAACGTATTTTGCCCAAGTTGAACGTTTTAATTTTACTGCTTCCAATAATTTTGGTGTGACCCAAAGATTTTGCTTAATTTGAAATGGAGTCGTTGTTGATGGAATGTGCAATTTACAGCTTCGTTGTATACGTCAATAAACCAACTGTACAGATTGTTTGCAGAGAGATTGGTTGGTATTTCTTTAGAAGTTATATGCAATAAAATTGCATCAAAATTTGCTTTACTGCAGATAAGCAGTCTAGGAGATGTTAGTTTGTTCTTGTTAAAGTATACTGCAAAAAGACCGACTAAAATACAGTGAGTTTTTCCCATTGGTGTATGTCCAAGCGAATTTCCTTCGTTTATTGAGATTAGGCGATCAGGATTATTAGTGATGATGAGGTCAAGCGCGCTACATGGAGTTGCAAGTATGTTATTGCGGTATGTTGGGAATCTTACTAGTTGAGTTAAATAGCAGTTTTTAAGAAACTTTTGGAATTTGATATCACCGGGACGTTGTTCAGTAACATGAGCGGTTGTTTCTACACCACCACCAACATTGCATGATTTATAACTGGTGTGGCTAAAATTAAAATCACCATACAAAAGAATTGTTGGACACTTTAATTTTGGCAATATCTGTTGCGCTGCTTTAATAGAGGCAAGAATCTGAGTGATCGTGTCATCGTTTTTATCTATTGAGCGATACATACAACCAAGAAGTATTGATTCGTTTTCAAAATGTATTACGTGCCAGATTTGTTCTATGGATGTCGAGGTGAGTGTGACGTCGGTAACCTTGCTGTTAGCGAAGCCATCTATAATGTAGATTGCAACACCGCCTCTCTACCATCACGGTCTGTGTTATGCAGCTGATAGCCAGCAATGATAGTGTCTGACGTAGCACTGAACCAAATTTCAGAAAAGAATGTAACGTGTGACCATTCAGATTTGTCAATAGAAGTAAGTCTTGCTTTAAGTTCATGGAGTTTTTAACCGTTTAATGAGCATGTATTATTTTCCCAGAAGCGGAAGAAGTTTATCGAAGGTAACTTTAAACGTGACGAAGTAGCCTGTGACTGCAGGTCTTGTAATGAGTTATTTGGCAAATGTTGTTTACGTTTTGCTTTGGTTTGTGGGATTGGGCTTATATAATGTGGTTGCAGTTTGCACGGTTGTGAGAAGACGTTTGCGGTGCGGTGCAAGGGTGCTTGCTGGGGAGGCAAAGACATATTTATGTAGTTTATTTGATTTTTGAACATCAATGCAGCAGATTTCTCCGGTACGCTTGTGGATAACATTCCAAAATGGTTTGTCAAGTACATCCGCAGCATATAGTTCGTTGTTAAGTTTTTTCATTTTACTTCGTAGTTCATTGAATGCCTCCTGTTGTGAACGAGTTCGATTTTCACGACAGAAAATTCCTTTGAATTCAGCAATATTATGGTGACTAAATTTCTGAAGCACTTCTGATCGAGATTGTTCATTTATTAAAGAGACCTTGACTATGTTGGAGTTATGGATTGTGTTGTTTATCTTGCTAGATTTTATTCTGCTGATGTAGCCTATTTTGGCACTGTCAACTCCACATGCATTGAAAAACTTGTTTGCAGCTATTATATCATCGTAATCATCTGATTTGGGTAGCCCTACGATTATGACATTAGATGCCCGGTTTTGTCAATTTCCAGTTTCAGCCGTGACGATGGGGGAGAGTATGCACCCATGATCCTAAAAATCTATCAGGCCAATTTACTGAATATATATTTTTATTTCGATCTCTAAAATAACAGTACATAATAGCAAATTTTATACCTTATTATAATTCAGTTATCATTTTTTTACCAGAATATTTTAAGTAGATTTAAAGTTATAAAAACTAAGAACGCTCAATTGGGATCATGGGTACATACCAGTATGCTCCCTTGATCCTACCTATATGCACCCTTGATCCTATGTATGTATACTTGATTCGAGATCAAATTTATACCATGAATTTATAAAAATAACTTTCAAGTCATCAAAACAATGTCTATAATAAAAACCAATAAAGTTGTTATTAATTTTACTACAAATTTATCTTTCTTAAAAAGAAAAAATCAAGGAAAAAAATGGTACTTTTTACTGAGACTCGACGTTTTTATTTTCATCACTTTCAAGATTAAGTTTTCTTTTCCTTGTCATGAAAATCTTATTTTGCTTTTCATGTTTTTTCTTTTTTGACTGAGATTTTTTTTTTATTTCGAACAGGAGTGTCTGTGAGTATTCGAGTACGCTGACGTTTACGTCCTTTAATGGATTTCCCTGATCCAGCTTTTGGAAATGGCCTAATTTTTTCTAGACATGCTTGATGAGAGATATAATTAGAAACACTGGATAGTTAACTTCCAGGGTCAGATATAGGCTGAATAGACAATACACTACAAGCTGAACCAGATGACAGACTTGACATCAATGATTGATTAAAAGCTGGGGCATGAACAATACCAGAAACTGGATCAACACCTGAAAATGGGTTAGCAGTAACACCTGAAAATGGGTTAGCAGGTTCTGGACGGTCTGTTACATATGAAGAGAAAAACTCATTATCAGCAAATATGTTAAGATTAAAGGATTCAATTCTCGCCACAGCAAATTCTGCAGAAATGTTAGACAAAGTAAAAGCCTGTGCATAGGCTTTCCTTACAATTGAAGGTATATCATATATGGTCATCGGTCTTGGATTAGATACAGTCTAATCATCACAGGCTGCATTGTAATATGCTTTCAGTGGCCCATAAACTTACCGATCTAATGGCTGCAACTTGTGACTATTTTTTAAGCTACATCTAAATACACAATTGAAACAAGGCTCTCGTGGTTGTCAAGAAGTAAAAGCACTGGATTAGCTGGTGAACATTTCACATTTTGAATAAAATGTTTCATCCACTCTAAAAACGTTGCAATATTCCTTCAACCAGATTGGTTTGCAACCCCAAAACATCCAGGTGGACCACCATTTATCATACTTCCTTTAAAATGAACTCTTGGAAAAAAAAAAATTTGAAGGGATTGAGTTTCCTATTGCATTAACTTTTTTTTTCTTTTTTTTTTTTTTTTTTACCAACCACCTAAACAACCTGCTGCTGAAACCAGACTTACACAGGGCCCTAGAAGACCGGTGTTTTTTGGGAGCCGAGACTCCGTGTTATGGCCAATTTAAGGGCTTTTAGTGTGGCCCACTTAAGGGTTTAGTTGCCACGCAGCCAAAACTGAGCAGCGCCAACTTAATGGTTTATCTCCATTTAACGTCCGGAGTGGACAGATCGCCTTGAGATTTCTGGACGTAGAAGGAGACACTGAAAAAGCGACTACGCGAAGAACCTCGATCGACTGTCACGGTTTCGAACTTGTGCTGCTTCTGCTTTCTAACAACACCGTAACCAATTATGAGATGGTCCGAAGCCGACATAAGAACAGATACGACACTTGATCTTAGCCATTAGGCCGAGAAGCGATTAACTTGCATTAACTGCTCAACAAACTGTTACCAATGTCCCTCTTTCTGCTGAAGTTATTCTTCCAACTTGTTTATCTCCTTTTTTAGCAATTACTTTAACTGGTTTTTGAACAGTTGTGAGACCTGTCTCATGGACATTATATATGTTTTGTGGCTGAAAGCTGTGTCGTAGACGAACATCTTTTAGATTGGTGAAAAATTCTGCGACTGCATAACAGTTAAAAGCAGTTGTTCGTGCCATACTAGTAGTTTCTGGATTTCATAAAGATTCCTACATAACATAAAACCACGAAGCCATTATTTCCCAACAATTTGTAAACTTTTCCACGATTTAGGAATGCGCTTAGAAAAAGTCATTGCAAATTCATAGGCAAGATTTCGTATTGTTTTGGTTGCCAATCCATGGTGAAGTTTTGAAGTCCTTAAAAGATAATCTGATAAAGATGTTTCTTCTTCGTTGGTAAAGATTTGCATGGTAATGAAGTTAGGTTTGCAGACTGTATTTGGATTTAATTGATATTTCCTTACATATCTCTTAAGTGTCATTAAATTGATTCCCCTCTCTTTAGATACACGATAAACTGTACTACCATTAAGAACTGCATTAACAGCTGCTCGCATTTCATTCTTACTAACTTTACCTCTAGGTGGTCTATCAGTTTTTCTTTTTTTATGATACTTCATAGTTAACTGTAAAAAAATGAAACATAATTATATAGTTTTGCTATATTCCTAATTTTTGGATAAACATTTTAAAGATTTTTACTTTTTACTAAATATATATATATATATATATATATATATATATATATATATATATATATATTATATTTATATATATATATATTATATTTATATATATATATATTATATTTATATATATATATATATATATATATGTATATATATATATATATATATATATATATATATATATATATATATATATATATATATATATATATATATATATATATATTGAATACTTTACAATTATATTATATAAAAGTTTCAGGAGAACAAAAAAATACAAAATAGTATAAAATCTTCATTTTAAGGCTTTATTTTAGAAGAAAAAAATATATTTAAAAACTATATGACGTATTGTACATGTTACATTAAAAGTTAAACATTTTGTGTGTGTGTGTGTGTGTGTGTGTGTGTGTGTGTGTGTGTGTGTATGCACCTTTAATCATAGGATCAAAGGTGCATAAACGCATTAGGATCAAGGGTGCTAACCCACTCCATTTTTACAAAACTTCTTTTTTTGTCATATTAGATTCTTCTATAGCTTACCAAAAGCGACCATACAAGAGGTGAACAGTTAAGTTACAAATTGACATAAGCAAAACTATTTAACTTAAAAAAATATTAAAGATGTGAGGTTCCTTGTAAAAGTAAAAAAATTACTTTTTGTCGTCAAAATCATACTATTTAGAAATAAATTTAATAGTGGTCTATTCTCTAACTAAAACACAATTAATTTTGAAGATACAATATTTATAACACGCTGGTTATAAGCCTTCTTTAATAAGTTATGTAAGTATGGAGATAACGCTATAGGATCAAAGGTGCTTATGTTCAAGGGTGCAAGTTCTCCCCTAACCATGAACATTTTTTGACAATTTTGCTCCAGTTGGAATGGTAATTAAAAAGACTTTTTTCTCCCTAAAAATTGATATAGCAGCAAAAAAAAACAGGTGCATCAAAAAGAAGTATTACTATAAATATATCGGATGTATAAAAATAGATATTGTAAGTCAACGAGAAAATAACAATGCTGTATTTTATTGTCGCAAAGTGTTATAACGTGTCGTAACTATAACGCTTGCTATAAATAACTTATCTTTTCATATTGTCCATAATCTATAGGATTACAGACAAAATAAAGTGCGGCCGTGGTGCAATAGTCAGAGCGTTTGCTTTATAAGCAGGAGATCCAGGTTCGAAACGAGCCTTGGACATATTTTCGCGTCACGGTAAGGAAGGAAGCGTGAACTTCCTGGTTAAATGCACTTCCGCGGTGCTAGGTGACAAGACCGTTAGGTCTTCTTGGGGCACCTAAATAACAATAAAAAAAAAAAAGCTTTAAGATGTAAAAACTAGTAAAATTATTTTCTAACTAGGATGTTGTTTTAGCCAATTTATTAATGAAATCCAAAAGCAGTTTTAATTATTTGAATAAAAACACGCACAACAAACTGATTAATTTGGTTGCTGATGAAATAAATGTCCATAATAAGGTTGGGGGGTGGGCAAAATTAGATAAGGTTGCTTTTGTAACTTGAACCTCATTCAAAGTGTGAATGAGGTTCACACTTTTTTATTTGGTTGCTATGATACCTTACTTTGCATAGCATAATAACATATTTTTGGTAGTTGTTCTTGATCGTTGCTTGATGAAGATAAGTCCATTAAAAGTGAGATAGTTGGGTATGATTTGTTAAAGTTTACGAATCTCCTATTAAAGTGAATTGCGTTATTGAACCTACAATGATTGTTAGGAAGGTTTAAACAAAGTTATCTGGGACAACTGAATCATCTCAATGTTGTTCAGTGTGTAGTATCTCTCCGAAATTGTGAACAGTTATTGATCAAAACCTTATACTTGATTTTACATTTTCATGCAAACACTATCTTCAGGATATGAAAGAGACTGCCTAAAAATCAAAAAACATCCAGAAGGATAAAATATAATGATCTTATCAATAGACTTCTTGCTTCCAGTGACTTCGTTATTTCACCATTGCGTAAATTACCATCAAACCAAATAAATCGTAAAACTTATTTTACAATTACTTAAGCAATCTACAAAAGCTATGAAAAAATATGAAAAATAGCTAGCTTTTTATTAATCAATATTTTTTATTATTATTTTTAATTTAAGATGTCTCAAGAAGCCCTTGTGGTCTTGCCACAGAGCGCCAAAGAAGAGCTTTTGAAAGGATTCTTACGCCTCCTTCCTTACCTGTTATTTCAATAGTAACAGTTGCTTTATCATCTTCAGAAAACAATTCTCTTCTTTGAGTTCCACTTTTAAGGAGCTTAAAAGAGTAAATTATTAAATGCAAGAGGGTTGAGCAGCTGCACAAAGATGTTCTTTGCTAAAGTTTAAACGTATAGAACGAGAACACTTAAACAGCGATATTTTTGAAAACATAGGCGTGGTTCAAAACATACAGGAAAACAATATTGCCAATGTGAGCAAAGTGCAGAAATTAAAGAAATTAAATTTTTTTGTTCCAACCTCCGATCATCTCAACATTTTGCAAAGAATTATTATAAATATAAAAATGTTTGGAATTTGCTCCATGTCTGGAAGTTAGATATCTAAAACACCAAAAAATCTTGGTTTCGTCACTGCATCAGTAAATTCCTCCGCTACTTCTATCAAAGATCGCCATTATGAACATGCGTATTTAGCTCTAACAAGAAATCATAGCTTTTTTGAGTCGTTGTTAAGCTGAGTCACGTTTTGAACCTCCTCTATCGGAAAAAAGAGCGTTCTGTTGTGGCCGATATAACTCCACTTGCGTTACCAATATATGTATTTTTTTTTATTCATTTATTTATTTTTTTCTTCTCTAGATATACCATATAAAATATACAAAATAAAAAAAATATATATATACAAAATTTTACGTTTCAGATTGATAAAAATACATTAATGTAATTTTGATACATTAATATAGTATCGATGCAAACTTTAATATAAATTCTGGTATAATAACTACTATACATGCTTCTTGCCCTGATTAACCTTTTTAATGACTGATTAAAAAAGTATTTAAAGATAAGTAACGTTATTTTGATAGCGACAAAGCGTAGAATATCTAAAATACCCACAACAAAAACAAAATAAGTACAGGGGTGCGCAGGTTATCGCAGAAAAAAATGAAAACAAAAATTTCCCGGCAAAAAATATGATATACAGTGAAAAACATTTTTGGCGGGAAAATGCAACACAGTTCAACAAGTTAATCCTTAAAAAATGCCGTTTTTCACTAATTTAGTTGTAAAAAATGGCACGATTTGACAGCACGCAAAATGAAAATGCAAGAAAACTTGTTTTTGATCTATGGAAACGTGGTGTGAAAAAAGTTGAAATTTGCAAAGCCGTGAAGGGACAGCTTCATAATTCCAACGTTTACAGACTCTTAAAAGACTTAGAAACTGGAAAAAATTACAAAAGAAAAAAACAGGCCCAAATCGTTATGTGAGAACTAAAGAACTTTGAAATTCGATCGACTGCAAAGTACGACGAAACCCAAACAGGTCAATTTCATCCTTAGCTAGAGAAGCAGGTGTGTCTCGAAGGACTATGCAACGTGTTGTCCACGATGATCTGGGTATGAAGAGCCTTGTCAAGTCAAAAAGACAACTTCTGAGTGAGGCAACTAGAGCCAAAAGACGCAAAAGATCAAAAGAGTTACTAAATTGGTTCAAAGACCACAAAGATGTCCCTATCGTTTACAGTGATGAAAAAAATTTCACAGTTGAACCAGAACCCAACAGATACAATGACAGAGTTCTTGGTAAGTCCAGAAGAACAGTTCCTTTGGAACTGAGGACTATTCCAAAGAGACAGCACCCTGTGGGCGTCATGGTTTGGGCAGGTGTGTGCTCTGATGGGTCAAAAACTCCCCTTGTTTTTGTTCCTGAAGGTGTAAAAGTCAACCAGGTGACCTATGTCGACTTCATCAAAGCTAACCTCATTCCTTGGGCCAAAAAGAAGTTTGGGGACGATCCATGGGCCTTTATGCAGGATAGTACACCAGCACACAGTGCAAATAAAACTGTAAGCTTCTTGAAAGAAAATGTTCCGCACCTTTGGACCCCAGATATGTGGCCCCCTTCAAGCCCAGACATTATTCCTATGGATTTTGCTATATAAAGTGTCATGGAGACCAAGAAGGCAGCCAAAACATATCCAAATTTGGCAGCCCTCCGAAACGAATTGAAGAAGATCTGGAAGAATCTTAGTCCGAACATGGTGCGACGATGCTGTGAGTCAGTTCCAGAGCGTTTGAAGAGTGTCATTGATGCCAAAGGAGGCTACTTTGAAATTCATTAGTGTTTTTGAGTAAAAATATATGTGATTTGGTATTGTGAAAAGTTTTACTTTGAAAATAAAAGCCATTTTTGAGATATAAAAATTTTTATTTTTCTGCGATAACCTGCGCACCCCTGTAATGATTCGATTTTTGAAATTTTTCAAATCGTATTTTTGATTCAGTTCGATTCGCAGGGCCCTAAAATATATAAATATATATATATATATATATATATATATATATATATATATATATATATATATATATATATATATATATATATATATATATATATATATATATATATATATATATATATATATACACAAATATATATATATATATATATATATATATATATATATATATATATATATACACACACATATATATATATATATATATATATATATATATATATATATATATGTATATATATATATATGTATATATATATATATATATATATATATATATATATATATATATATATATATATATATATATATATATATACATAATACATAATATATACAGGCCCGTAGCAACCGGGGGGCAGCAGGGGTACTCCCCACTCCCAATAATTTTTCAAATAAATAATTTTAAAGAAATTTACAGATAAAATGAAAAATAAAAATAAAAGGTTCTTAAAACTATTTTGGGGTAGTACTGCATTCCCAATATATTTCTCTCTTGGCAATTATAAAATATTTTGATACGATTTCATCATATCAAAATATTCTATAATTGTCAAGAGAGTTAAATATATCATTAAATAATATAAAATCACTTTATTAAATTTTTGGAAATGAGTATTTGTTAAGAAATACTTATTAGGGTAAGACGGGGCAAAATAAGACACCGGGGAAAAATGAGACAGATCGCATTTATAATGATCTTAATCTCTTAAATTATTTAGTGTTACAAAAAATATCTTGAGTCACTTTGAAATGGAGAAGATGAAGAGAACGACAACCATTTCATATCTTGGCTATATGAGAATTACAAATTTAGATGCGTTGTTGTTTTAATTTTTCTCAGTGTTTTTTTATCTTTCGGAGTGGAAAAAATTTTTATGTTCAAAGTTAATGTTTTATTATCATCTCTAGGCATTGTTATATCATTTCCATATATTGATATTTTATTTATTATGACAAAATTGTCAGTAAATTACACAATTTCCAACCGCAATATGCCAACATATTGCGGGGCAAAACGAGACATTTTGTTTTTTTGTTTTGCTGAGATCAACCATGTTTATTTAGAAACTATATGAGAAAAACTAAATGTGGCAATTTTTCTGAGCAGAGAATGTTAAGTTAAAATTAAAAGAAATCTCATTGAGAAAAACAGTTTTGACATTTATTGTAAATAAAGATGCTTTACACAGAAGAATTTAAAGAAAATTAAAGAGTTTAGACTATTATTATACATAAAAAATCACTTGATTCATTATATTTTGGCCAAATGATACTGAAATTTAAGTATTACCAGAAGATACTGAAAGTCATTTAGTTAACTACTAGTTAAGATGACATTTAATGAGTTGCTAGTATGTTAAAAAGTACAAAATAACTCATTCATTCAAAAAGTATAATGGTGTTGCATGAAAAGATTTTTAAAGGTTTTTTTGGGTTTTTAAAAAGACATCCATATCCTTGAATCAGAAAGGCTTAAAGGTTGTCTTTAATTGTGTTTATGGTTTAAACAGCAGTTCTGTGAACATTTATTTCAATAATATAGAAGTTATAAAAAAGTACAAGTCTGAACCTCATCAAATTTTTAACTGGGATGAATCAGGCATTAAAACTGTTCATAAATCTGTTAAAGTTATATAACTTTAACAGATTTATGAACAGTTTTATTATTTTATTTAACAGATTTATGAAAATATATTGTTATATATCAAAATAAAGGAAAACATTTTGTTTCTTCTGTAACTAGTAGTGAACGAGGTGTAACGACAACTGCTATTTTAAACTGCTTAAAACTTTTTGAAATATATAATTAAAGTTACATAAGCGTCCCAGACGAAAATAACAAATTATCAATTTATATTCTTTAAAGCATATCATAAAGTTGTCTCTGTAGAAGTTCTGGCTTTCGCACATCTGGAATTTATCTTTTGTGTCAGGATATAATTCCAGACAATAAGTTTAATAATGACAAAAACTCTAATGCTACCCTACATAAACCTGATAAAATTGATTTACAAGTTAATTCAAGCACCTTATTACCTTTGTTGTCAGGATGTTCAGAAAATATTGGTTTTAATGTAGTAATACCCTGCTTTTCTAATATTTTAGCTATTTCAAAGATCACTTTATTACCAAGAAAAAAGGAAGAACCACAGATAATAACAACATCACATTATAGAAAATCACTATATGAATCCTCTGAAATCAAAATAGTTAAAAAAACAAAAACAAAAAAATTAAATGTGCATTAGGAAAAGGTAAAGAAAGAGTTAAAGGTTTATGTGTTGAAAACTGGGAATGTTTTTGTAATGGATTATGGAGTGTATGACTGCAAAGGTATTGAAGTTGAGTCAATGTTTAAAATTTACAACTTGGGCTCATTCAGACTGATGTTTATTTCTGTTAATACTGGTGAATCATTATGTGATTTATGTAACTAGTGACAGTGTGTTTGATTATATGATTAACTAGTGACATTTTGATTGTGTATTATATTTGTTTGATTATATATTATGTATCATTATTAGTTGTATTATATTATAAAATGTTTATCTTGCTAAACCTCTGAAAAATCTGTTTTGTTTATCATTATTTATATGAGTTACTTATTAAAGAAATCTGTCTCATTTTGTCCCACAGAGCGGCGCAAAATGAGACAGGATAGGTGTTGTCAATAAATGATATTTTGTAAGGTTGTAGTAAATAAATCATATTTTGTAATGTTGTAGTAGGATGGTAGAAGATTTGAAAAATATCAAGTTCTTTTTTTAAAAGTTCTTAGACGGCCGGTATTAGATAAGTTAGAGCTTAAGTGTCTCATTTTGCCCTTTGTTACCCTATTAGGCAATATTATTATTGACATCAATTTCAACGAGTAGAACTTCATCATATTAATAATACTATTATTGCCATATTCACCTTTAATATTTTTTAGTAAAATTTATTAAGCGAAAAGAAAACTAGTTGAATAGTTTTAAAAATCGGTTCAAAATTTCTTTGAGAACGTCTCAACATGTGAGCATTAAAGTTATTTTTATGAACTATAAAATTTTACTAAACGTTTTTATTATTCAACGAAACTTGTTTACTAAACGTTTTTATTATTCAACGAAACTTTTGTAAAAAAAAAGTTTTGCTGTTGTTGTTTTTCAGATACAAAAATATAAAAAATAAAAGTGATATATCTAATGTAAAAACGGTTAAGATTAAAAAAATATAAGTTATAATACACATTCAGTATTATTTGTGATCATAATTGGTAGCCATCGGATCATAATTGGTAGCAGAAGGTAATTTCTTCAACACGGAAGAATGGTAAAAAGAAAAATCAAAAATAAAACAACCAAATGGAAGATCAGTTAACCGTTTAAATTTGTTTACTCGAACTAAACATCAAATTGTTCAGCAACTTGGAGACGATGAACCCACTTGTAGAAATGAGTTTACGCGAATTGAGTAATCAATTAACAAAGAATCAAAATGAAGCTCTTGAGTAAATGGTTGAAATTATTCATCTCCCCAAGGCCGAGAAAGCCACTACAGCTGACGAGGCTACTTTTTGTGGTTACAGCCCTCTCTCAACTTTATAACTCTGAAAAACGAACCTCGATGAACATGGCCGCTGCGAGGAGAAACAAGTTGAGCGCGGTACTACAAGTGATGTGGTGAGGATCGAACTCGGAACTTCTCGCTTATGTGGTGAGGATCGAACTCGGAACTTCTCGCTTATGAGGCGAGCGCTCTACCACTACACCACTACCGCATTATCAAAGAAATACGAACTTCTGGTATTTGCAAATGAAATTCCTACATTTGGTAACAGTGATCAAAAAAAGAAAATAAATTGCATACAGAAATGTTCTGTTTGCAAAAATGATCATAAAATATGGGAGTGGCCAACGTTTCAAAATCAAAATCTTAAAAAGAAATGGAAAACAGCTAAGAAAAATAAACTCTGCTTCAGACGTTTGAATTCTAACCATTTGTCAAAAGAATGCAGGAACACAAAAATTGTGAGATTGACGGCTGTACAGATACTCATAATCGTTTGCTGTACAAGAAAAGACATCCAAATGAAAAATTTTTTGAAGATTTCAAAGAAAATGACATAATAAAAATCCTACACGTCAAACATCCAATTTCATTCAAAACACGTCATGAACTGCATACTTTTAGAACGGTATAAGTTATTTTTCGTAATGGAAATAAAAAAGGTTGTGGTAAACGGATTGCTTGACGATGGAAGTACCAAGACGTATTTGAACTCAGATTTAGCGGCTAAGTTGTCACTGCTAGGTAAAACCAAAATGGTAACTGTAAACATGATAAATGGAAAAATTGATTCTTTTGAAACGATACCGATGGAATTCCAGTTGGAATCGTTTAATGGAGAAACAAAAATTACAGTGAAAGCTTTTACAGTTAATAATGTATCTGGAAACTTAAAAGCAGTTAATTTTGAAAATTTGTCAAAAATTTGGAAACATTTAAGAAAAATCGAATTCCCAAATATTGGTCCAAAACCATAAATTGACATTTCAACTGGTGTGGATTATGCTGAGCTGCACTGTGCAAATAAGGAAGTAAAAGGAGGATTTAACGAATCAGTGGCTCAACTCACGCCGCTCGGATGGACATGTATT